ATACATACNCGATATGCACACTATATATATATATATACATATACATATACATATTTGCATACATATGCCCCCCCACCGACCCCCCCCAACCCACACTCTTATATATATATATATATATATGTGTGTGTATATATGTATTTACAATGAAGAATGTATACGTACATGCACATTTCCTGCAACGGCAACGACTAGCATATCTACTGTGGCAACTTTATTGACATGCTTGTGATCACGTGATTGTATACAGAGATAAATAAATGATAGATAACACGTGCAAAGTTGCCTCATGAACGTGATATGATTGTTGTTCAGTTGTAAGTTTGAGACGATGGTCTTCATATTATTCTTATAGCCATGTACACATTTATGTAGTTCTGAAATCTGTGTGCTATGTACGGGTTAACCCACGTAATGTTCATAGCATTCATATACACGATTTCATGCACGTAATGTTCAATTTCATGCACGTTGTGTTCATAGCATTCATATACACGATTTCATGCATAGTTAAGACATGTGAATATTAATCTTAACTATTGGATCAGTTCCACGTTAATTCCTCGGAAGGCTTATTTGGATACCTATGGTTGAAATCGCAAAGTAGATCAGAATGTAAGGTATCAGTCGAAGGCTCGATTGGAGCTGGTCATAGTTTGGGTCTCGCAAATATGCAATTGGATTTTATAGGATCGAGGAATCTTCTACGAAATATTGTTGCATATCGGTAGCGCAGATTCGTGTCATCCGGTTCATTGTTAGCAAAAATTCGTTGTACAGGTTCCAACGATTTCACTTAAGGCTATAATGTCTCCCACCAGACAACAGGTCATACTGCTTAATGTTTTCGCACAACATGTACTATGATCTCAAACGAAGGATTGTGCATAGTTGCAACATGTATTGTTTTTACAGTAGATTGTACGTCAAAATAGAAAATATTTGTGGCTCACTTGCATTAAATATGTCTGGTATACGTACAGGCAAGGCGACTATGGTAGATGTGACCGACAAGGCTGAAAGCACACGCACAGCAGCAGCACAGGCGATTGTTCAACTATCAGAGGCCACATTCAAGCGAGTGAGTGACAACACTATGCGGAAAGGCGACGTGCTGACAGTGGCTCAGTTGGCGGGTATTATGGGTGCCAAGCGAACATCGGAACTGATACCTCTGTGCCATCCACTGTTTCTCAGCAAAGTGAGGTAAGTGGCCACGTGTTCGTATCAATAATGCAGGGGCGACCCGATGGGTGTATGCAGTCAGTTTTTGGCCCTTTCACGGGGTTGACCAGTGGATATCTCACGTGTATGGACATACGTGGTATTTTTGAACTCTGTGTAGTGATGCGAGAAGTTCTTTGTATAGTCGCGAAGCTGTACACTTTACAATTGCGTTACCCGACAGTATATGTTCACCATCAAATTAATACTATCGTATGGTGCATTCTTTCAATAGTGTTGACCTGCATCTTCTGCCCTTGGAGAATTCGATTCGAATTCAATCAGAAGTCAGGACGAAAGGATCCACTGGTGTGGAGATGGAGGCATTGACAGGTAATCATTCTCGTCGGATATTGCTTTGCATTCGTGCGCTCATTCGCATATCTGTAAAATGCTCAAATTGTATTGATCTGCCCGTATTTAATAATATTTTCTATATGTATATACATATTTACATGCATATTTGTACAACTTACATAGACCTCAATACGTATATATCTTCACACCGGTATGTTTATTTTTGTATTTATAATCAAATGAAACATCCTCTTCCACCCCACAAAACAGCTGTCAGTGTGGCCAGCCTCTGCGTGTATGACATGTGCAAGTCAATTGGACACGAGATTACTATCACGGATACCAAGCTCGTCAGCAAAACCGGGGGCAAGAGCGACTTCAGCACCTAGTGGGCTTTCTAGTACTAGCCCGCTCTATTATGATGTTGGCAGGGCATACCATCCTGTGATCTGAGTCGGCGAGCAGCTGGACTGGTACATGAGTGCTTCCTGGGTTGTGTGTGAAGGTCGTGAACGCGATGGGAGCCATACTGCATAGTGGTTAACTGCATTAGAATCCGAATGAGCGAGACTGTCGGAAACTCAAAAGGATCGTTCGTGTGTACGTGTTTTAACCCTTTATAGCTTTATATATGTCGGCACCCATCTAGTGTGGATAGTTATTTTTGGCGAAGTGACGCTCATGTTATGAACGAGAAGCTCCGACAGATTTCTACATCTCACAGATGTGTGCCTTTGCCGGGATTGAGGTCTCCTGATGTCATGTTTTCGGACATATCACACGACAAACGCTTGAACACTCAACATACTCGAAGACTACTGTCCGCTTCCAATTTTGCTTAGATCACAGCACATCTACGACTCAACCAAAAAGCCATAGCCCTTCAAAGTATTGTTCGCCGGATGAGTGTCCGATAATGATTTATGAATAAACGGTATCAACAGATGGAGCGATCGAATTATTTGGTGTTCCTAGAACGGGCATGTTCATAAAATCTTCAAGGGCGAAGAAATGATACGGAAGTGCCGACCGGTTGTTAGTTCCGTCCGTATCACACATACACTAGATTGGTCATTTACTTCCAACTGTTTTATCGATATATTGTTGTTGAAGTTTAAGATCAGACAATCGTGGGCACGGATGATTTTATTCAGGTTGTTCTTGTAGACTTTATTTACTTCCAATCTTGTGATGTCCCTTATTGTTGCTTGGAGTTAATATCAAACAGTTTATTGTACTTTCGGTTTGTTCTTGAGACAATTGTTAAAGCTTCTATTTTTGGAAATGACTAACGAACTCCTTATTTTCTTACACGTTTATTCTTATTTGATTAGGTATTATCATCAGCTCTGAAATGGTTCTAGCTGGTGTGACTTTGACTTCAATTCCGATGATTATCTATGTGTTTAAGGATAGGGGTAAGGATGAACATTATATTGCCCACAATGAATATGATATTTTCCAGGAGATGTGTATATTCATGTTTCTCTCGACAACAATATATACACTATCATACGGGATTTAGTAGCCGATTGCAGGATCGCATGTTTTGAAACGGGGGTTCTCGCACTCTACAGCGTCGACGTTGGTCGTCATAGGGCACCAACCATTGGCCAGGTTGGGGTACTTGGCCGCGGCATAACTGCCGCTTGCGTCAGGGAAGTTGACACCCTCGCATCGAGATGTGTCGTACTCCTATAGGTAGAGGTAAAATGCAACATAGAAATTTAGTTTCCTGACTGTCATGATAGCAGAGCAGGGCGACTATATCCCATCAAATAGTGGACGGCTCGATAGTAGTAGTGAATGTACGGCACCTACTCGAGATAAATACGAAGTCTACGCATACCTGAGAACATGTTGCCAGGCAGGCATCTAGAGGAGGATTCTTCTTGATGGTACTGAAGTTCATCTTCGCGGCGCGGTCGCAGTACATACACAGCGAGGTAAAATACTCGCAATTGAGGACGGGCTTGTCTCGGTTGATGAATGGCCAGTAGTGATCGCAGTTGCCGTTAATCTGTAGACGGAATACATGCAGTGTTAGACGATGCGTTGATAGATTTGTTCACGAATTATCATGATTGAAATCGGAGTATTACGCGTACCCACTATATAACATTGTGTCAATGACAAAATGAATTTAAAGTCGCGCATTTCACATATACGTACCCAGCACTCCTCGTTCACCACCATGTCGAAAGTGTCAGCCAAGAACATGTTGAATTCATTGGAGTTCTTCAACGCAACGGCCATGCCCCTTGCGTGTGCTTGTTCAGCCAGCCAGATATTGAACTGCAATTGGATTTTTAGGTCGAATTCGGCTCCGGGGATATTGTGATCGTGGATGATCATATCCAAATTATCGTACTCAATCGCGTCACAGCCTTTGTCGCGCGCAAGATCAATACGCTCAAGCATCACCTCCAAGAACATGTCCATACGACGGAGATCCAACCAGGCCTCATCGGTGAACACGTCACTGGAAGAGAAGAAAATAGAAATCGTGTGCGGGTGCTGTTAGACATGGATATATCTGTCAGACTATCGGACATGCAGACAGTACCGCTATTCGGGTCTCGCAATTGACCAGGTTACAGAAGATATCCCAAGTATCGACAGGCGGAATAATGAAAACAGGACGTGGTAGGCTCACCAGCACATACCCTTCTCCAAAGTCTAATGGCCCTCCACGGATGGATTGAGCTAGTTTAGCCTCATCCATACGGAATTCCTCCCAACTGCCAGCACTGAAATAGCACATCACCTTACGGCCTGCGTCGTGAAGCTGGCTGATAACTGTTGCAGATGTGTCCACGTCCACATCGTATAGGTCTACATCGAAACTTTGATCTATCTCATCCTGTCGATAGAAATATGAGATTGAAATACACAATGAGAGACTTTCGCCAAATCTGAATTTATTACTTGCTTATGGTTGGAACGCTACTACAAATGCACACGAAGAAAATAGAAATCAGGTTTGAAATAGAAGTGATAAATTCTTCCGCAGATTGTTCGTCGTCAGTCCTTCTATTTAAGTCTCTAGCATCAATATATATGGATTTTAGGCTTAAACTAACGTACCTGTAACTGCCACTGCCAGGTGATGCCAGCCTTGGGCTTGTACCAAGTCTTGTTGTGCTCTGGGATTCGGAAGTCACCAATAATACGTTCGCAGTACGAACCAATCCAGCGAGAATTACACGAGCAACGCCCGCTGAAGGGATCGCACGCACCATTACCCCAACAGTCATATGGACACTCCTTGGCCTTAAAATCGGGATGTGTCATGACATCTTCGATAGCTTCAAGAAGCACACGGGAAGGACAGTAATCGCTGTGTAAATCGCAAATCGAGTATATGAGCACAGCAGTCTATATGTGGCATCGAAATTCGCCCCCTTATGTGCCTGGCATGATAAAAGTAGAGCATGTTTGGTTGTGAACTACTTGACCTCGTGCATACCTACTGAAAGCAACGGAGACACGGCCATCCCCGTGCAGCTTAGTAGTGAGTGGTGGGTTGGAACAGTATTCCTGCAATTCTCCAGCGGATGCTAGGGCGATACCTCCTTCAACAATGGCACATCCAGTCTGCGAAGTTGTAGTATAGAATAACAATTCAATTCTCCGCTCGAGAAGGTAAGAATGTACTGTAATATGTGGCATTGAATTTATGCTCAACTACAATGTATATTCAAAAATCAAGAGATTATGAGAAACTCGCCAATTTCAGTACTGGCTTACCGTGAAGGAGTATTTC